CACAAAGGAAAGCAAATATTAACAATTAAGGATTAAGACCATGGAGTTGTTGTTTTTTTTTAAGGTGATGGCCCATGGTTTCAAAAATGAAGAATATGATAGAAAAAAATATTACAAACTCAGTCACAAAAACAAAAGTGAGGCAAAATGTCGTATTCCAGACAAAGTAGTGGAACAATAAAGAGCTTATTATAGAAACAAGTGCAGATTCTCAAGGTCACCCAGGTGTGCAGTCACCTGTTCAAAAGAGGGAAAGAGCAGAAAAAAAACACTTTACTCATAATCGGCTCATTCTCAGTAGGTTAAGATTACAGAAATGTGCGATTTTACATATAAAATCTTTTAATTTATGGGTGTGAGATCGAATCAAAGATCTGACCACCTGCATTATTCCAACATCTTTGATTCATTTCTTATTTTTAAGCTTTAAAAATGGTCTTCAGTAGTAGTTTTAAGAGATTTTCTTTTTAGAAAATAGTTTTTTTTTTGTTGTTAAGATGTTCAACACTGATCTATGATTAATTCAAGTATTAAAAAAAGAAACCGAAATCAAAGATGAGCTGGTTTCCTGCTCGAAACAGCCAACTCAGCAAAAAAAAATGCAACGTTTTATAAATTTCTGAACACAGGAAATGGTAAAACAGCAAATATTTCTCAGTTTGAGTGACAAAATGGAGCGTTTTTTTCCTCCCTGTGTGCGTTTTTATCCCTTTCCCGTAGTCCAAATGCCTGTTTTATGCTTAATTTTGAATGTACTCGTTTATGTGAATTTGATATTTTATTTACATTCATGAGTGACATTAATAATTTAACTTAAAACATATGTACAATGTTAAAAATGTGAATTTAGAATATTGACAGTATTAGTGGGCCTTTAATGACGTTTGAATTCTGCACGAGGTGCCCAGTTGGGTAATATTAATTATATTAAATAATATAACACGGTTTTCTGACCGTGCCATGTACAGGTGTTGTTACCATGTGGAGCCTTAGATTTTGATTTATAAAAGTTTAGGAGGCATATTTTCAGTTGTTTTTGTTTTTGTTATCGCCTTTGTTTTAAAATAAAAATGCAAAACGTGACGTCTGTGGAAGTTATGGTTTTAATTTTGGATCCTGGAACGCATCAGCCACAAAACTCCAACCTGAGACGAATTTAACAGAGACTTTCCAAAATACCCCACACTGTTATTATTACTGCTATCATTATCATTACTGTCAATATCTTTACCATTTTACATCCAGTCTGTGTGTTACTGTGTTCTCTCTCTCTCTCTCGCTTTCCCACTCTTTCTCTCTTTCTCTTTCTCTCTCTCCCTCTCTCTCTCTCCCTCTCCCTCTATCTCTCTCCCTCTGTCCTTTTCTCTCTCTCTCTCCGTTCCCTCTCTCTCCCTCTCCCTCTCCCTCTCTCTCTCCCTCTCCCTCTCTTTCTCTCTCTCTCTCCCCCCCTTTCTCTCGCTCTCCCTCTCTCCGTCTCTCTCTCTTTCTCCCTCTCCCTCCCTCTCTCTCCCTCCCTCTCCCCCTCTCTCTCTCTTTCTCCCTCTCTCTATCTCTCTCCCCCTCTTTCTCTCCCTCTCTCCCCCCCCCTCTCTCTCCCCCTCTCTCTCCCCCTCCCTCCCTCCCAACCGGCCGAGGCAGATGCCCCTCCCACCCTGATACATGGTTCTGTTCCAGGTTCCTGCCCGTTAACAGGAAGTTTTTCCTTCCCTGTGTCGCCTAGTGCTGCTCTTGGTGGAAACTGTTGTTCTTCTGTAAATAACTTCAGAGTCTAGTCTGAGCTGGTCTCTGTTTGGAAATCTGGGAAATAACTGTAGTTGGGATGTGGTGCTATATTAAATAAAACTGAATTGAATTGAAATAAATAAAATAAATCTGTCTCGGCCCTATTTACATGTGTGTATATATATATATATATATATATATATATATGCCTTTGTTTTACTTATGGAGACTGTAACAAAAAGAATTTCCCTCTGGGATTATTAAAGTATTTCTGATTCTTATTCTGCAATGGAGGAGGGCTGATCTACTCACGGCTTCACTCCAAACCCAGCAGCTCCACGTCGAAGATGAGGGTGGCGTTGGGGGGGATGATGCCCGGGTGGCCCTTATTTCCGTAAGCGTAGTCTGGAGAACAGGTCAGAGTGGCCCTCTGACCCACACTCATCTGTGAGCACAGGAGAAAGGGCCAAAGGAACAAAACGAAACAAAACAGTCCAGCAAAATAGCAAACAAGTCTGACAAAAAACCATCCTGGAGCCTGGATCCTGGAGTCAGGATTTTAAAGGGGGTCTATTGAACTCATTAATCTGTTGATTAACTTGGTCTTTGTTGACTTTTCAATAAAGGCTAAAAGAACCTGAAATGTTTTTTTTTTTAAAGAGGGACACGATGGATTTTTTAAATTTATTCAAATTCAATTCAATTCAGTTTTACTCCTATAGCACCACATCCCAACTACAGTTCTCTCCCAGCTTTCCAAACAGAGCTCAGACTAGACTCTGAAGTTATTTACAGAAGAACAACAATTCCCACCAAGATCAAGCACTAGGCGACACAGGGAAGGAAAAACTTCCTTTAGGAGGAAGAACAGGTCCCCAGAATCCATCTGTTCCTCCATTTTTAGTGGTAAACTGTTCAAGTCTTATTAAGTCACTCTTCGTTACATTTCGGTTGGGGTAGGATCGAACCGTTTGACCCCCCGTGTTAAAGTAGAGACCAGAAAAGGAAAATTTCAGACAGGAACCAGGTCCATAAATGACCAACTTATCATAAATACAGTCCCCGGGGGAACCGGGACCAGAGGGTTCTGGGTTGGAGTCTGCCAGCCATTTTCAGAACAGAGTCCCATACTGCCAGAGTTTTTTT